CAGTGACGGCGTGTGCACTGTTGAGTGGGAACCGACCCACAGCTGACCTTCCAGCTATCACATAGAGGAGACTGCCCATCCTTCTCTCGCGGGGCAGCGAGTGGCCTTGGTTGGGTGTACAGCTCCTTACCACTGGGCCACCAGAGCGCCCTGTAATGAAGGTTCCTGCCTACCAGAGGGACATGGGTAGCAGGGGACACTGTCAGGCACCCGGAAGAAAGGGGAGGAGGGTGGTCTCTCCCCACCATGAGACACCAAGAACCCTGAGCAGTGAGCACGGTCAATGTGTCACCGAAGCGGCCTTTCCTTGACGTGGATTCTTGAAGAGTAAACAACCTGCCCCTATGATCCCACAGGATCAGCCACGTCAGCACCACGTCTAAGCCCCAACAGTGGCCACAAGCCACAGGGGTGGGCGGTCTCTATGTGACTAAAAGTGCCCTGAATGTGGCAGGTTGGGTGACCACACTAGCCACCTGGGTCTACTGCTTCTGAGCCGCTGCCGGGTTTCTCAGATCGTGGATTCTTAAGGGACAGACTGCCGTCCTTCTTCCACAGAACGGCTGCTAGATTCGAACCGCTCACCTCCCGCCAGTAGCTACATGTGTTACCCTCTACACTATCAAGGATTCTTAGCTCATACCCAGCAATGGTTAAAAGAAAGCTAGGTAGGGAGCTCTGGTGGCCTAGTGGCAAGAAGCTGCGCTGCAATCCTGAAGGAGCGTGGTTCAAATCCACAAGATGCTCCCCTGGAGAAGGAGGGGCAATCTCCTCCTGTGCCAGTCAGACCAAACTCGACGGTACACAACAACAACAGAAGAAAGAAACCTAGGTGCTGCTGAGTCGCCTATGACTCATGGCCCCACAAACAGCAGACGCAGACCCTGCTCCTCCCTGGACCACCATCAAAGCCTCCTTCATCTCATGCCTGCTGAAGTCCCCGTGTCAGTCCATCTCAAGCGTCTTCCTTTCATTCTCTGACCCTATACCCTTTCCAACATGTTAAAAGAAGACACCTAACCTTCTAAGTAAGTGCTATTTAATAAAAATCCTTCTAAAATATATTTACCATTAATCCGACTTCTCTTTTTTTGGCTTTATTTTTAATGAAATTGCAACTGTAGGTGTTATTAAAAATATTTTACAAGTCTAGCACTGATCATACCAATCACCAACTAAGTTGGTACATTCTGAAGAAATTCTGTGAGCTCCAACATCATTTCACAGGGAGGATATTTCACCTCAGCACCTGTTCGAAACGGGGCAACAGCCCTGTGAGCTAAGACAACTACGGCTCGGAAGGTCGAGGGGACTTACTCACTGAAGACACTAGTTAAATAACAAGTCAAAGATTGAAGCAAGGTTTTCAGTTCTGAGTTGAATGCCTTTCTTAGGACCCCACAGATTAGGACCCACCTGTTGTGAACCATCAAGTCTAAACTGACCCACAGCTGACCCTTCAGCAAGTTTTCACAGTTCTTCGCAGGAGACGTGAAAGCCCATCCTCCCTCAGGGTAGCTGGTGAACTCGAACTGCGGGCCTTTGGGATTGCAGCGCGGCTTCCTGCCGCAAGGCCACCAGAGCTCCTTGGGACCCAAGAGTGCAACTAAAAAGCCTATTGGATAAGAATTTACTTTCCTTCCTTCCTTCCTTCCTTCCTTCCTTCCTTCCTTCCTTCCTTCCTTCCTTCCTTCCTTCCAAGTAAAATAAAGAGAACACAAATCAACCTTCACTGGATCATTCATGCACGTCTTAATGAAAAGCAATCAGTGCGCTATTTGTCAATGATGCGCCAGGAGTTACAAGCAGAACAATGGTTCCAGAAAGCACTCTGGGGCACTGTTCTTCCTAAAGTCTCAGATCGAGCTCCTAGTCCTTCATAATATGACTTGTAATCACCTGCATCAATTGTCTAACTTACCCCCTTCTCCCCACCTAACGTGCCGTGGCACATTCTCCCCTTCAAGAGACCTGTTCAGACCTGGCAGCGTGCTCACAGGGGCGCCCCGGTGGCCTAGTGGTTGAGGCGTTGTGCTGTCAACCCAAAGGCAGGCAGTTTGGACCCGCCGACTTCTCTGTGGGAGAAAGCTGGGCAGTGTCCTGCCGTGTGACTCACGGCTCCTGAAAAATCCCCTGGAGGGTCAGCCATGGGTCACGGCCGTGGGTCAGCTGGGCAGGAAGGTTAGACGTGGGCTAGCAGGCTCCGTGTGAGGGCCTGGTTCTGGAGATCGGCGCAGGGCGCACTGGGATTGCTGGCCTCAGCTGTTTTCTGCTCTCTGCCTGCTTCTCCTTGGGGAGCCAGCAGTGGGCACTGCCAGGTGAGGACCTTCTGACCCTGACAGGTGGCACTGCCTGCCCCCACTGCTGGGACACAGGAGTCTGGAAAGGCTTCCCCAGGTGGCCCACCTGCCCCTCCTTACTGGGTCCTGAGCCCACCCTCACTGGCAAAGCAGCCCTTCCACGGGGGCCTTCTCACCACACCGGCTGAGTGTTTTCCTGCTGTTACTTTAGGAGATGTCCAGGCAGCCCTGTGGCCTACTGGATAAAGAGGTGAGCTGCCCAGACAAAGGCAGGGGGCTCGAATCTAGCAGCTGCTTCATGGGAGAAAGGTGGGCAATCTCCCTCCCGTGAGATTTACAGCCTCTGAGAACTCCCTGAGGGTCAGCGAGGAGCCGGCCCAACGAGTCTTTGAGAAGAAAGGTCCAGACCCTGTGCGCGGCTACACCCCTTACTCCAGGAACAACGTTCAAGGACAATCCGGGGCCTTCGTGTCTCTAGCTGTCAAAATCCATTATCAGAAAGATTGCTGTGCGCTGTCTGGTCCGGACAGCCTCACAGCTGACCCTCCAGCGGGTTTTCAGAGACAATAAACAGGAGGAGACTGCCCATCCCCCTCCCATGGAGCAGCTGGGGGACCTGAACCGCAAGCCTTTAGGTTGGCAGCACAACTCTTAGTTACTTGGCTGCCAGAGTTCCAACATTACTCTAAATGAAGTGTCACAAAACAATGGTCCACAAATCCCACTCTGCAAAGGACATGCATCCTCCCCGCCCTTCTCAGCACCGCCTCACTCCCTTCTGTTCCAGGCTCTCGTCTGACCTTGGAGACTTGATCAAGGCAGACACAGTCCACCCCTGGCCACCTGGAGTGCACAGTCTAACCTCTCTGTCTCCCCCACATCAAAGGGTCCCTCAGAGCCCCACAGAACACAGGGCCTGAGGTCAGAGCCCCCAGCAGATTCTCCGAGGGTCCCGGCTCCAGACATGGTCGCCCACTGCTGTCACACAGATCGTTACTCCCCGGGACCCCTCCGAGGGTGTCCGAGGTAGTGTTTACAAGGGACACTGGCTGTCTTCTCACTAGGAGCACTGTGTGGACGTGAATCACTGTTTTAGAGGTACACATGTAACACCCCGTGCTCCCAGAGCTTCTGAAAACGAGGTTAAGAACCACCAGAATAGCCAAATTAGCTGTCACGTTTACCCCTCAATCTGACAGACAAGCATTTTACCCAAAGGAGATGGAATGATGGAATTTTGTATAATCAATGTATTCACTGCAAAGACTTATTAAAAAGACCCACAAATGGTAGCAATACACTTGGACCTCACCTGATGGGATACACAAGAATTGCATTTACACAGAATTACATCTGTGGAAAGAATCATCAAAGCACAATAGCAGCTGTGAAAACTAGGCCAGGTGCTGACTGTGGAACAGACCACCAACTATTCATGTGCAAGTTCAAACCGAAGCTAAAGACAATGAAAACAAATCCCCAGGAACCAAAATACGACCTTGAGTCTATCCCCCCCTGCCCCCCATTATCCCTCAAAGGGGGAATTCCAACCACCTGCTTCCGGAAGAACCGTGGTGCCCTCTGAGTGCTGTTCACTGTCAGGCACCCACCTTTCCACCCTTCCATCACCCCAGTGTACTACACAGATGCCCCTCCACCCTGCCTCAGAACCTCACATTTTGTCATTATCCCAAGTGTATGTCCTCCGGGTCACTGTCCTGGGTCCCCATGGCCACTGGGCTCTTCTCTTACATGGAGGCCATGGGCCCATCAAGAGAAAGGCCCTCTGTGCTTGGAGGTCCTGGCCTCCCCTACTTCTCGTAGGAATGGGAGATGAACTCCCGTAGGACCTGGGGTATCTCTGGGACATGACTTTTCACTGGGGACCCAGGAGTGGCCAAGGTGAGCTGTGAAGGAGGTGCAGAATGTGAAAAAAGAGGTGGCAAAGCCAGGGTACACCAGGCCCCCAAAACCTCCAGAAAGCGTGTTTCCTAAGAAAGTTGTAACCAGGTCCTGCCTGGAACTCAAAACCACCCCAACCTCACCCACTGCCCCGGGAACCCAGGCCCAGGAAAGAAGGCTGGGCCCTCCAGGGGAGGCCAGTGACAGAAGCCCCTTCCCCACGCCCCAGCCCTGCCCACACACACGGCTAGCTGCAGCTTGGCTGTCACTCTGGAATCAGGTCCCTGTTTCCCCACCTCCCTGAAAGCCCCCTTTCCCCCACTCCCCTCTGCCTGGCCTGGGGGCTGGCACTGGAGGAAGGAGGGAAGCAGGACTGACCGCCAGAAACCCAATCCTCAAGCTGCAGGGAGGGGCTGGCCACCCGGGGGCCAGCAAAGCTTTGCTGTCCTCTCGTAGACCTGGGGGGCACTGCCCGGCTCTGCACAGGGCCCCTTCAGAAGAGCTCAGAGGTGCACGTATAAAACCAGCTGGGTCACTTAACTCTGTTTCTCTGGGACTCCCCAGTTCCTGACCAAAACAAAACCATGCAGTATATTGCCATCAAGTTTATTTGAAAGGGGCTCCAGAAACAGGCAGGGCTTCAGAAAAAGCCTGGGGAACCAAAAGTCACTGCTGCATCCAGATCCCTCCCACTGAGGACAGAGAAGGGCGAATACACCGAGGGACAGGCTACAGAAGAGTCCTCCTCTCCCCCGACCTGGACAGAAGGACGAGGAGAGGGACGTGGTCACGCTTTACCTGCTGGGATGGGGACCACGCTGTTGATGACTGTCCGCTGAGACACGATGAAGCGGAAGAAAAGCTGGAGATAAATTCCCAGGGTCACCGGATTGAGCGCGACCATTCTGGCTGGCGGCTGGGCAGCGTCAAGTTCAGGTTCAGAGGCGGCAGCTCCGCTCTGAGCTCTGTCCTCCTCCCACTGCTCTGCGCCTCTCTCTCTCTCCCTCCCTCTCCCCTTCTCCCTCTCTCCCCACCTCTCCTCTCCCCACCTCTCTCCCTCTCTCTCCCTCTCTCCCCTGTTCTTCCTTTTCTCATGCCTTTACTGAGAAGGAATGCCAACCATTTCCCATTAGACCTTCTCCATACTACGCGTGGTTATATTTATCTCGAGCACTGGATCAAATGCCCACATTCAAATTAAGATGTCAGAATTTTCTTTTTCGGACTCTGAGGTCAGTAGCTGGTGAAGGAAGAGGTGATGAGAACAAAGCCAGGCCTGCGATGTCCACTAGAGGCCATGCTCAAGGGCAACAGAGTCGCCTCATCGAATCCCACCGCCTCCACACGCTGAGCTGATCAGCCCTCTTGATTAACAGTGAATTTCTGTGGCAACAACCCCTGGTGGTCAATTTGGTGTCTTCACCCATGATGGGCAAACGCAAAACTCACCTGTCATACTGTTTTTTTTTTCTTTAATCATCTACTAAAATATGTGAGGACTTATAATTTGAAAGCAGCTTTCTCAGTTAAAAAATAAAAAAAATAGATCAATTAATGTTGTTAGGTGCCCCGGAGTCAGCGGCTCTGATCCCTCTCCTGGTGGTGCCAGCTTCACCATCTCTGACACACTGGAGCCCATTACTGCAGTCACCCTGCCAGTCCATCTGGTTGGGGGTCTTCCTCTCTTTCGCTGACCGTCCCCTTCTCCAAGCATGATGTCCTTCTCCAAGGAATAGCCTCTCCTGGCAACATCCCTCAAGTATGTGAGACGAAGCTTAGTCACCTTTGCCTCCAAGGAGCACGCTGGCCGCACCTTCTCTAAGACACGTCTGTTTGTTCTTTCGGCTGTCCGTGGGGTTTTCAGTGCTCTTCTCCAACACAGCTCAAACACATCAATTCTTCTTCTGCCACCTTTATTCGTTGTCCAGCTCTCAGGTTCATGGCAAGTGATTGAAAGACAATAGCCTGAATCAGGCACACCTTAGTCCTCAAACACCATTGCTCCTCAGTCATTCTGAGGGGTCCTCAACTGCAAGCTTTCCCAGTGCAGTTTGTTTCCCAATTTCCTGACTGCTGGTGCCAAGTGTATTCTGATCCTGGATCCCAGTAAGATGAAGTTGTGACAGTTTCAATCTTTTACTGGTCCAGTGGTGAGAATTTTTGTTTTCTTAATGTTGAGATGCAATCTATATTGAAGGCTGTACTGTGATTTTTCTGCAATGAGCGCTTCAAGGCCTCACTTTTAGCAAGCAAGGTTGTCATCTGCAGAGCAAAGGTTACTGATAAATCTTCCTCCAATTCTGATACCACATTCTTCTTCACAGAGTGTAGCTTCTAGAAAATTTTGCCCAGCATATAGATTGAAAGGTATGGAGAAAGGATAAAACCTTGATGCACACCTTTCTAAATTTTTAAACCAAGTAGTGCTCCCTTGTTCGGTTTGCACCATAGTCTCTTGGTCTAGGTTTCACATGAGCACAAGTAAGTGTTTTAGAATTCCTAGTCTCAATGTTAGCCATAATTTGTTATGATCCACACAGTCAAATGTATAGCCAGTAAAGCATAAATAGTCTTCTGGTATTCTTTACTTTCTGTCAGGACCCATCTGACATCAACAATATACCTTATTAATATGTCTCTCATCTATCTATCTATCTATCTATCTATCTATCTATCTATCTATCTATCTATCTATCTATCTCTATCATGTACTGTTGAGTGGGAACCAGCTCAATGATAGCTGATCTTCCAGCAGGTTTTCAGAGGCAGCAAATTGCACAGGAGGAGATTACCCATCTTTCTCATGAAGAACAGTTGGTGGGTTCAAACCATCAGACTTTGGGTTGGCAGTTCAGCTCCACTAGGTCACAGGAGTGCCGAGGAGGGGAAGCAGGAAGAGAAGGGAGGGAAGGAGAAGGGAAGGGAGGGGAGAGGAGAGAAAAAGCCAAGCGAAAGCAATCTCTCTGGTGGTCTAGTGGGTAAGCCGTTGTGTTGCCAACCCAAAAGCAGGTGGTTTGAATCCACTAGCTCCTCCATATGAGAAAAACCTAGGCAATCTCCTGTGATTGGCAGCCCCTGAGAACCTGTGGGAGGGTCAGCTGTGAGCGGCTTTGGACTCTGCTGGACACAAGTTAACATGCAGGGTTCTCCACCCACAGTGGACGTGACCCAAACTATGTCACCTGTGGTTTAGGGAACTGCTTCTAAGCCACCTTGGATTTAACCTGTGATGAAGGGGCACAGCTCTACGCACCCCCCACACTCCCGGGAAAGTCCTGGCCCCCGACATGTCCTCCCCGGTGCTGGTTACTGATGGAGTCTCACCACTGTAGGATGAAAAGGGAAGGCTGGGGAAGTGATGTGACTTTATAGTCCAGCCACACAAGCCACTTGCATTTCCCCAGCGCCCCTCTGTACCTTGGCACACGCACCTTCTGGTGGGCTTTGGGCTGGATCACAGGAGTGGGAGTGGACGTGGGCATCGCACTGAAACAGGACCAACACACTGGGGTGTATGTGCACGTGCAGCCACGAGGGGGCGAGCCACGGACTGACTGAGGAAAAGCCAGAACCCTGTAAGGTTTAAAATCTCAGTAAAACACAGATTCTTTCAAATGATAATAAATCCGGAAAGGTGTGCATCAGGGCTGAATCCTCTCCATACCTATTCAACCTGCACACTGAGCAAATAATTGGAGAAGCTGGATTATATGAAGAAGAATGGAGCATCAGGGTTTGAGGAAGACTCAACAACCTGCATTATGCAGACAACACAACCTCACCTGCTGAAAGTGAGAAGGACTCAAAACAAACACTTGCGGGGAGCTCTGGTGGCCTAGTGGCAAGAAGCTGCACTGCAATCTCAGAGGTGCACGGTTCGAATCCACCAGATGCTCTGCCGAGGAAGGAGGGACAATCTCCTCCTGTCCCAGTCAGATCTGATTTGACGGTACACGCACACACACAAATAATAAAAATTAAAACAACAACAACAACAACAAACAAACACTTGCTACAGAAGATCAAAGACTACAGCCTTCCATATGGATTGCATCTCAACATCAAGAAGACAAAAATCCTCACCACTGACCAAAAGGCAGTATCATGATAGATGGAAAAAATATTAAACTTGTCAAGGATTTCGTTTGACTTGGATTCACAATCAACACCCATGATAATAGCAGTAAAAAAAAAATCATGGTGCAACCACTGTGGAAGGCGGTATGGCGCTTTCTCAAAAAGTTGCAAATAGAGATAACAATTTGACCCAGCAATTCCATTACTGGGAATATATCCCAAAGAGACCATAACTGACATCCAAGCAGATATATGCACACACATGTTTATCACAGCTTTGTTCACAATAGCAAAGAGTTGGAAACAACCCACGTGCCCATCAATAAACGAATGGATAGAGAAGCTGTGGTATATTCACACAATGGAATACTATGCTGCATTGAAAAACAAGGAACTCATGCAATATTATTTAAAATGGGTGAGCCTGGAGGACATTATGCTGAGTGAAATATCTCAGTCACAAAAGGACAAATATTGCATGGTGCCACTGCTGTAAAATGGGACTGATATCAGGGTGGGGGTAAGACTGAGAAAAACTGGATAAATTGTGTATACTGCACTGAAACAGATGAGGGACTGAATAATTTAAAAGTGATGTATGATAGGGTATTATGGTTATCACAAGAGTCCACAATTAAGGTTGCACAGTAGAATGTACTTGGGGCGGTGGGAGGGGTGCGTACCAGGGAGGGAGTCTTTCTTTTACTTTTGAAAGAGAGGAGCGAACTGGGGGGCGGGGGGAGAGGGCTGGGTGGGGAGAGAAGTGCAGTAATGAATGAATGGAAATCCAAATTCTCTGTAAATGTTCATTACAATTATTTAAAAAATTTTTTAAAAATGGAAATAAAAAAATCAAAAGATATATCGCATTGTGGATATCTGCTGTCAGGGACCTCTCAAAATTGCTAAAGAGCATTGATGTCACTTTAAAGACTAAGGTGCACCTGGCCCAAGCCATGAACTTTTCAGATACTTCCTGCACTTCTAAAAGGAAGACTGAAGAAGACTCAGTGGATTTGAGTTAGGGTGTTGGTGAAGAGTGCGGATTGTCCCATAAACTGTCCAAAGAACAGATAAATCTGGTTTGGGCTACTCTGGAGATGCAGGATGGTGACACTGGGTCTACACACTGCGGGCGTGTCGTCAGGAGGGACCAGTCCTTGGAAAAGGCACCAGGCTGGGAAAGGTGGAGGGTCAGAGAAAGGGAGGAAGACCCTCAGTGGATGGACTGACATGGTGACCGTAACGTTGGACTTGAACATGAGATAATGAGGACGGTACAAGACAAGGTGAGGTTCAGACCTGTGGCTCACAGGGTCGTTCTGGGTCACAGAGGCACGAGGGTGCCTCACAACCGCAACCACAAGCAACACCGGGAAGCTCTGAGCATCGCTGCTTGGAGAGACACGCCTGCATCCCTGGCCCTGCCTGCTGTTCTCTCACCACTCCGCACCCATCCGTTCACACCACTATCTGATGGTCATTATTTAGACCATCACCTGGCAACAACTGTGTCCACCCCCCTCACAGAGAGTCCTTCTCTTCTTTACTGACCCCCCACTTTTTCAGAGGTTCACCCTGCCTGGCAATGAGATAAAGTCATCATCCTTGCCTTTAAGGAGCACTCTAGTTTCATTTCTTTCAGGTTACATTTGTTTGTTCCCTTGGTAGACTATGTTACCGTCAATTCTTTGTCAACCCCACAATTCAAAGGCATCAGTTCTTCCTCGATCTTTATTCATTGTGGTCTTACACATGCATTTGAAGCAACTGAAAATATCATGGTCTTGGGGTGGGCACACCTTAGTCTTTAAACTGATATCCTTA